ATATTCAATTTCCCTTTCACACAAACAACCGGGTCTAACCACCTGCGTCACTCTGAAGGGTATTGACCCCCAGCGTTCTCTCAACTCAGGTCAGGTGTCGTGTAGTTAGTCCAATAGTTCATTTAGTTGTTATGTTCAGTATCTGGAGTGTTCAGTACCCGAGGTGTTCAGTACCTGGAGTGTTCAATACCTGGGGTGTTCAGTACCTGGAGTGTTCAATACCTGAGGTGTTCAGTACCTGGAGTGTTCAATATCTGAGGTGTTCAGTACCTGGAGTGTTCAATATCTGAGGTGTTCAGTACCTGGAGTGTTCAATACCTGAGGTGTTCAGTACCTGGAGTGCTCAGTCTGGAGTGCTCAGTACCTGGAGTGCTCAGTACCTGTTCAGTACCTGGAGTGTTCAATACCTGGAGTGTTCAATACCTGGAGTGTTCAATACCCGAGGTGTTCAGTACCAGGAGTGTTCAATATCTGAGGTGTTCAGTACCTGGAGTGTTCAATATCTGAGGTGTTCAGTACCTGGAGTGTTCAATACCTGAGGTGTTCAGTACCTGGAGTGCTCAGTACCTGGAGTGTTCAGTACCTGGAGTGCTCAGTACCTGGAGTGTTCAGTACCTGGAGTGTTCAATACCTGGAGTGTTCAATACCTGGAGTGTTCAATACCCGAGGTGTTCAGTACCTGGAGTGTTCAATACCTGAGGTGTTCAGTACCTGGAGTATTCAGTATCTGGAGTGTTCAATACCTGGAGTGTTCAGTACCTGGAGTGTTCAGTACCTGGAGTGTTCAATACCTGAGGTGTTCAGTACCTGGAGTGTTCAGTACCTTAGGTGTTCAGTACCTGGAGTGTTCAGTACCTGGAGTGTTCAATACCTGAGGTGTTCAGTACCTGGAGTGTTCAATACCTGAGGTGTTCAGTACCTGGAGTGTTCAATACCTGAGGTGTTCAGTACCTGGAGTGTTCAATACCTGAGGTGTTCAGTACCTGGAGTGTTCAATACCTGAGGTGTTCAGTACCTGGAGTGTTCAGTACCTGAGGTGTTCAGTACCTGGAGTGTTCAGTACCTGAGGTGTTCAGTACCTGGAGTGTTCAATACCTGAGGTGTTCAGTACCTGGAGTGTTCAATACCTGAGGTGTTCAGTACCTGGAGTGTTCAATTCCTGAGGTGTTCAGTACCTGGAGTGTTCAATACCTGAGGTGTTCAGTACCTGGAGTGTTCAATACCTGAGGTGTTCAGTACCTGGAGTGTTCAGTACCTGGAGTGTTCAGTACCTGAGGTGTTCAGTACCTGGAGTGTTCAGTACCTGGAGTGTTCAGTACCTGGAGTGTTCAATACCTGAGGTGTTCAGTACCTGGAGTGTTCAATACCTGAGGTGTTCAGTACCTGGAGTGTTCAATACCTGAGGGGTTCAGTACCTGGAGTGTTCAATACCTGAGGTGTTCAGTACCTGGAGTGTTCATGCAGTACCTGAGGTGTTCAGTACCCGGAGTGTTCAGTACCTGGAGTGTTCAGTACCTGGGGTGTTCAGTTCCTGGGGTGTTCAATACCTGAGGTGTTCAGTACCTGGAGTGTTCAATACCTGAGGTGTTCAGTACCTGGAGTGTTCAGTACCTGAAGTGTTCAGTACCTGAGGTGTTCAGTACCTGAGGTGTTCAATACCTGAGGTGTTCAATACCTGGAGTGTTCAGTACCTGAGGTGTTCAGTACCTGGAGTGTTCAGTACCTGAGGTGTTCAGTACCTGGAGTGTTCAGTACCTGAGGTGTTCAGTACCTGGAGTGTTCAGTACCTGAGGTGTTCAGTACCTGGAGTGTTCAGTACCTGAAGTGTTCAGTACCTGAGGTGTTCAGTACCTGAGGTGTTCAGTACCTGGAGTGTTCAGTACCTGAGGTGTTCAGTACCTGGAGTGTTCAGTACCTGAGGTGTTCAGTACCCGGAGTGTTCAGTACCTGGAGTGTTCAGTACCTGGAGTGTTCAGTACCTGGGGTGTTCAGTTCCTGGGGTGTTCAATACCTGAGGTGTTCAGTACCTGGAGTGTTCAATACCTGAGGTGTTCAGTACCTGGAGTGTTCAATACCTGAGGTGTTCAGTACCTGGAGTGTTCAGTACCTGAGGGGTTCAGTACCTGGAGTGTTCAATACCTGAGGTGTTCAGTACCTGGAGTGTTCAATACCTGAGGTGTTCAGTACCTGGAGTGTTCAATACCTGAGGTGTTCAGTACCTGGAGTGTTCAGTACCTGAGGTGTTCAGTACCTGGAGTGTTCAATACCTTAGGTGTTCAGTACCTGGAGTGTTCAATACCTGAGGTGTTCAGTACCTGGAGTGTTCTGCAAGAAAGCAACAAAAGTGCTGACAAAAATATTGCAAAGCTTTTTTTTGTCGCGTGGTAGACGGTTGGAACAAGTTAAGTGACTACTCATTTGTTGGTAGATGGTAAGTTTAGTAACTTACTAGTTAAGTGAATACTTAAGTGGTGAGGAAGGTCGAACCCATCAGTATTTAATGTGCTATATGACAAAGAGTCCTGGGAAGACGGGACACCACGAGCGTAGCTCTCATCCTGTAACTACACCGTGGTAATGACATCTCAACATCAAGTCTACGGATAGTGAATTAGATCTTACCTACTGTACTTACGTTGTGGCAGTTCTCACTCTCCCGCAGCCCAGAAAACGTTCGGCTAGTTACGACCAACCATTCACTCGCTGACGTAATATCCAGTTTTCTATTCCTGGATCCTTTGGTAGGTCGCATTTTAGTACTACATTTTCTTGACGTAAGGGAACGCTCGCGAGAACGGGCTGCACTCACAGCGACTTAAGGTGTACTGACTTCCACCTCCTGTTGGGTTCATCTCAACATATTCAGAGTCAATGTTCACTCTGAAAATGAAGCCTTAGTTGATTAACTCGCTGCTTCGATATCGTTGTTCAGTCAATTGGTATTAGGGTCGCTATGATGCAGCCTGTCCTCGTGAACAATTAACAAGCAGCTAAGCCCATTGTTAATGCATGAGAAACTGTACAGTTGACTAAATCTGTTGCCATTCTAACTTTTTTCGAACAGTGCTTCACTTCCAGTGTCCGAGCCGCGCCTCTCTCATGTTTCACCAACGCAATACAAAATACAAATAACCGTTAACAAAACCAAAATACCCAACCCATCCTATCCTAGGCCTAACTATAGACTAAAATATAATGGATATTAATATATAATTGTGTTTGAACAACTGTCGATTCAGGTTACACTGCTCGTTAAAATTGACGAACGAGTCTTTAGGCTCAGGTGCAGCTTCAACGAGCAGGCTCTGAGGACCAGTTCATACTGTATGTATATATATGTAATGTAAATCTTTTACTTTTGTATTTAGCAACGTTTATTTTGCATTAGACTAAATGGTTTGCTCTTGATTCATTGACTGATGATGACGATGCAATTCAGAAATTATTAAAGACGTCACAGCGCTGGTGTTACATATACACATTATTTATATATTTATATAATGTATATATATGTGTTCCTGAATTAAATGAAAGAGATAGGCCGATGATTGCATTACGAATCTCTTTTATATTCCTTACATTTTTCATGGTTGGGGAGAAAGTTTAAAAATGAACTCTCCAAAGTTTATCTCCACACCCATACCTGAAGCACTTCACTCTACCGACCATCCTCAGAGGAAGAAGGACGGGAAGGGAACTTTCAGGAGAAAGCGCCAATCCATTACGACTATATAGCACTTATCTTGAGGTTATCTTGAGATGATTTCGGGGCTTAGCGTCCCCGCGGCCCGGTCCTTGACCAGGCCTCTTTTTGTTACACTCCCCCAGGAAGCAGCCCGTAGCAGCTGTCTAACTTCCAGATACCTATTTAGTGCTAGGTAACAGAGGCGTCAGGGAGAAAGAAACTCTGCCCACATGTTTCCGCCTTCACCGGGGATCGAACTCGAAACGTCAGGACTAGGAATTCGAAGCGCTGTCCACTAAGCGGTCAGGGCCCCTCATCCCACTTGGAAGGGATCAGGATAAAGATTTGGAATGGGGGGGATGGGGGGGGGGGAAGGAATGGTGCCCAACCACTTGGACGGTCGGGGATTGAACGCCGACCTGCATGAATCGAGACCGTCGCCCTACCGTCCAGTCCAAGTTGTTGGGCAGAGGAAGAGGGAATATGAATTCAAAGATTGATTGAGTAATGAAGATTAAGCCACCCAAGAGGTGGCACGGGCATGAATAGCCCCTAATAATTCAAAGGTACATTACAGTAATATGCAGTCAATTTTGGTGTGCTTAGGGGAGGGGTGTTAACTCTTTCAAGAGGACGGGTTATAAGTGGTTCCTGCATGCCTATTGGTCCACGGGAGACATCTCCCGTCACGCAGGGTGCAGCCGCATCTTCACAGATCTCCAGTATCATCTATTGATACTGGTAATGGCTCAAAAGGGCCACCACTTACGGGCTATTCGTGCCCGTGCCACCTTTTGGGTGGCTTAATCTTCATCAATCAATCTATTGGTCAATTAGGTGGGTGATAGAGCATCACCTGGCAGTTTGGTCTTGGTCTTGCTGAAGGAAGGACGAATCGAGATCTGAGTTTCGCTTGATAACTCGATGAGCATGTTTGATGACAAGTACTTCTGCTTTGTCCAGTCTTTTATTGTTAATATAAGCCTCGGTAATTATGGTGTTGTTGGTCAAGATTTATATAGTAATTAAACACATATGTCTTATGTGATTTGATAAAATGCTATGCCCAAAATTACCATCCGAGTGCCGGCGGGGAAGTGGTTCAAATAGCTTCGGCTATTACTTCCTTATGTCCGGTCGTGATGGTCAAGTGGATTAAGGCGTCCTTTACATACCAGTTGCGTTGCTCCTGGCAGTATGAGTTCGAGTCACTTCTGGGGTGTGAGTTTTCAGTTGCATATAGTCCTGGGGACCATTCAGGCTTGTTCGCACATATATCATATCAATAACATTTGAGGATAAATAAAATAAAGGCCAAAGCCAAGCAATTTATTCAATATAAGAACATAAATTTATTCATTTAACTAATGGCACTATGAGAATTCACATGACACCAGAGTGCCACATTCTTCACTAGCATTAACCTAGGTTTATATTTAAGAACTAAATAAATTTTATTATATAAATCAATATAAAGCTTTTACTGGGCAATACTGCAATGAACTAGAGTTGGGCAAGTACAAAAAAAAAGAATAACAAATTGTGTAAAGAAACTATTATTTGCATATAAATCAAATTGAATGAAACATGTAATAAAATCGAAAATATTGAGAACACAAAATTTTTATTAATACATTGTGACGAAGAATATATATTTTAGATCACAATGTTTATGAACGGGATTTATTTAAATATATATATATATATATTTATAATATAAAAAATCTGTTGACCCCTGCTTGCCCTTAGACTTAGCTTACGGACACACAATATACTTATATAATTCAAGCTGGTATAACGTTTGGACTAAAGGATGAGGGTGACATCACCAGGATATATTTAGGTCATACTCAGTGTTTTATCAGCATATCTTAAGGATATACTATGGTTATATTCACATTCAACATTTATTTCACATATATACTCAGCACACCCTCAGGATATTTGCAATATAACCTTAGTACACATACAGTGAATACTTAAGGTGCATTCCGATTATATTCAGAGTATATTCATGGTATAACCGGATTATATTCAGTGAATAACTAAGATATATTCCCAATTATATTCAGAATATAGTCATGGAATAGGTCGATCAAGATATACCCAAGATACATATATGGTATATCAGTGATATATTACAGATAAACTGGGAATAAATCTTATTAAATCCCATCCCCTGGAAGACTTTAATCTCCCTCTCTTGGTAGCTTTCAGCCACACTTTGCCACACTTGAAATTTGAATTCATTACATATATATATATATATATATATATATATATATATATATATATATATATATATATATATATATATATATATATATATATTAGACCTCATTAGGAATGTCTGAGTATATACACTTAATGTGGGTGGTTGGTTGATTCCAAGCGAGGGAGAGCAAGGGGACGGAGAGGAAGAGGGAGAGGGAGAAGACAGGATAATAGATGCGAGGGAGAGAGGGGAAAATGGAAGGGTGAGGACGTATAGAACGTGTTATGGACGCTGGAGTACATAGGTAGACAACGAATTGATAACTTTAGAGGAAAGTTGAGAAAGAGAAAACTGGGAGAGGAAGGGGAAGGTATGAGGGGACGGGGAAGGCGTGAGGGGGACATGAGGGGAAGGAAGGAAGGTACAAGGTTAAGGGGAACCTAACATACACGGCCTCCGTGACCTTACCAAGGCGGCAACGTGCACTACAAAATAAACAACAGAGATCTAGTCACACTTCCCCAAAGCTCCGTCGCTCCCCACACAATAATAATAATGTGTAGCATTACTTACAAATGATCTATTTTTATTTATCATGGATATAGACAACAATATGGTTACAAGGTGCAGGAAGGTACGAGACGGGGTTCGAACCAGGGATCTCAAGTTGGGAGTCGAGGAACACCAGCTGAACATCCACTTCACCACAGCTTGTAGGTCAGGGTCGCGTAGTTGTAATTCTTTAACTCCTGTTAAGAAAGAGGAGACACAAAAAAATACTCGTGAGAAAGATGTGTCCGACCCTAAGGACGTGGTTAGTGGTTGTTTAGGCATAAGAACAAGTAATAACAGCAACAAACAACAACAGCAACATCAACAACAACAAAAGATATGGCAACACAGAGCCAAGCGCCATTTGCTAAGTCAGGAGAAACAAACACAGTAAAAGCCCCCAGCAGCCATGCCTTAAGAAGCACTGTAATAATTCACAAGCACAGCCCAAGCAAGCACACACACGAGGCGGCTACAGCGCCGCCGCACCGCTGCTGGCTGCGGCTGCGGCTGCGGCTGCCTCGTGTGTGTGGGTGCCGGGTTGTAAAGCCACAGACAAGATGGGTGTGTGTTTACCTGTATCTATATATTAGTGCCTCATGACATTCCATACACCTGGAAGGAAAACTACTATGAGAAAATACGGTGAAGCTACACAAGGGTTTCCGCCTCTATCACACTACGCCATAGTGACCAACACGGCTGGTCGGGACCCCCGCCTCACCACCTCACACTAACCAACAACAACTTGTATATGTCATGACAGGAATAATACACAAATATATATAGCATGATATAGACATTAAGGAACACACTAATATGATTAATTTATATTAGAGACATGTAAAAACTCTATTGTTATATAAATCATACAAATGCAATTAACCTTCATACAATTTGATTTATTGATAAATATTTTTTATCAATATATATATATATATATATATATATATATATATATATATATATATATATATATATATATATATATATATATATATATATATATATATGAGTGTGTGTGTGTGTTTACTAGTTGTGTTTTTACGGGGGTTGAGCTTTGCTCTTTCGGCCCGCCTCTCAACTGTCAATCAACTGTTTACTAACTACTTTTTTTTTCCCACACCACACACACACACACACCCCAGGAAGCAGCCCGTGACAGCTGACTAACTCCCTGGTACCTATTTACTGCTAGGTAACAGGGGCATTCAGGGTGAAAGAAACTTTGCCCATTTGTTTCTGCCTCGTGCGGGAATCGAACCCGCGCCACAGAATTACGAATCCTGCGCGCTATCCACCAGGCTACGAGGCCCCCTGTGTGTGTGTGTGTGTGTGTGTGTGTGTGTGTGTGTGTGTGTGTGTGTGTGTGTGTGTGTGTGTGTGTGTGTGTGTGTGTGTGTGTGTGTGTGTGTGTGTGTGTGTGTGTGTGTGTGTGTGTGTGTGTGTGTTAGTGTGAGTGTGTGATTAAGACAGGAATTGTCTTAAGTACTTTCGTATTTAATAAAACATCTTCAGAAGGATGGATTTACAGTGATTGATTGATGAAGCTTAAGCCACCCAAGAGGTCAGGCTGCTATCGCGGGGAGGATACTGCTTGACAGTATTTATGAGGGTGTCCAGCTGCTGGACACCTTTTTTGACCAGAAGAGTGGCAGTGTTGATGCTTCAGGCTGGTTACTGCAAGATTCAGGGACTCTTAAAGCTCTTCTAAGGTCGTTGGTTGCTTCACATTCCATGAGATAGTGAAGTAGTGACTTTTCTGTGACAGTTTGGCAGAAGATGCACTCTCTCTGTCGGGGTTCACCAATCTCCCAGTTGCATCTGTAACCTAGACGTAATCTATATAACCGAACTGCTGCTTCCCTGTGGATTCCTTTCGGGATATTTAACCTGTCTAACTTGGTGGCCTGAAGTTACCATGTTGCAGGTGGTGAACCTTCTGCTACTCTCTGGTGTAGATGGGCTTTGTTGAGGTGTGAGTGTTTTTGGTGATGATGTTTTTTATGTACTTTAGGTTAGGTTGGATTGTTTCATGTATCACTGGATGACGATTTGCCAATTTAGCAATTTCATCGGCGATTTACAGATTGATTGATAAAGATTAAGCCACCCAAGAGTTGGCACAGGCATGAATTGCCCGTAATATGGCGATATACAGTTGATTGATGAAGATTAAGCCACCCAAAAGGTGGCACGGGCATGAATAGCCCGTAAGTGGTGGCCCTTTTAAGCCATTACCAGTATCAACAGATGATACTGGAGATCTGTGGAGGTGCGACTGCACCCTGTATGACGGGAGATGTCTCCCGTGTAACTCCGAAGCATCTGTACTGTAGTTAACTGAATCCATGCGGAAATTATATTGTTGGCTGGGATATACAGTTCAGTGGGTGTGGATATATAGCCAGGAAAGAGGTGAGGGTGAGGTACGATATCTTTAATGAGGTAATGGGATTTCATTCAGCTGATTTCTAGGAGACTCGAAGCCTGGACCCGACGCGTGTGTGAGATAATGGGATATTAATAAGGTTTTAGTGAGGTAAATGTGTGTCAATGATCCTACTCAAGTCGCCTTTTAACTAACTAATCAAAAATTGATCTAAATTATACACATCACTGCTAATGTACAAATTACATGATTTTGTAATATGCATTAAAGCAGCTTCAATAATGTTCCTATTGGAAATGATTTTTACAATTAGTTGTTGAAGAAACCATCTGCCAAACAATTTGGTGAGAACTTTCTGACAAATAAACCAACAAAGCATTAAACAATTGGCCGTTTCTTACAAAGTATTTATGTTGCGAAATTCTAAAATTCAATGGGTTACAGGCTCACCATAGCCCATGGTACATGGACATTTCGTTCTGAATAGTTAAATAAAAAACAACATCAACAACATAAATTTCAAATCTTTGGAAGTTTGCCTTACAAACATCCAAAGATTGGCAGTGGTTTATATAATTTAGATAAATTTTGGATTAATCAGTTAAAGGGTGATTTGCGTAGGATCATTGATACACATTTATCTCACTAAAACCTTATTAATATCCCATTATCTCATTAAAAACATTGTACCTCACCTCATCTCTTTCCTGCCTATATATCCGCCTCCACTGAACTGTAAATCCATCCTTCTGAAGATGTTTTATTAAGTACGAAAGTACTTAAGGAAATTAATGCATAATCATTCCTTCGTGGCCTAACATTGTTATATATATATATATATATATATATATATATATATATATATATATATATATATATATATATATATATATATATATATATATGTCGTACCTAGTAGCCAGAACGCACTTCTCAGCCTACTATGCAAGGCCCGATTTGCCTAATAAGCCAAGTTTTCAAGAATTAATGTTTTTTCGACTACCTTTATGATGTTAAATATGACCGAAAAAGTAAGATTAATAATTCTAACACGAATTTTCTCAATATTTCTTATGTTTCTTTTTACTGTTGATGGTAAATTTCTAGTCTGACGCGACACTTGAACGCGTTTCGTAATAACTTATTACATTTTCAAAGACTTTAGTTTACACACACACAACTATTATCTGCAAACACAACACACAACAGAGTTTTACTATGTTAATATTTAAACAACTTTTAGTGTTTGCAGGTTATAGTTGTGTGTGTGTAAACTAAAGCCTTTGAAAATGTAATAAGTTATTATAAAACGCGTTAAAGTGTCGCGTCAGACTAGAAATTAAAATGAATTTTGGAGAATTGATTTTTCAATTACCATCAACAGTAAAAAGAAACATAAGAAATATTGAGAAAATTCGTGTTAGAATTATTAATCTTACTTTTTCGGTCATATTTAACAACATATGTTTACAAGAAAGACTGCTACCAATATAAAATATATATATATATATATATATATATATATATATATATATATATATATATATATATATATATATATATATATATATATATATATATATATATATATATATATATATATATATATATGACAATGTCAGACCACGGAGGAAAAATGAAACAGGAAATTTCCTTAAGTACTTTCGTATATTAAATACATCTTCAGAAGGTCTGACCTTCTGAAGATGTATTTAATATACGAAAGTACTTAAGGAAATTTCCTGTTTCATTTTTCCTCCGTGGTCTGACATTGTCACATTCTTAATCACGTGTTTATTTTCGTGATATACACACACACATATATATATATATATATATATATATATATATATATATATATATAATTATGCATATACAAACATCTTAGACACTTAAACACTAAATAAAGAAGAACCACAGAGATACACACATAAAGGATTTTTATACCACATTTGACTGAGAGGACTCTTAAGAGACCAAGAGCGAAGAGCAAGAGATGACCTCCCCGAGCCACTGTGGTCAACACGTCATCAACTGACGTGTTCATCAAGAACATAATCGCCACCATGATCAGTGGCGACGTTCATGGTGGCGAAGAGTGACGATTAATGGCAAATCAAATTAATAGAATCAATGGAATATTGTATATGTTTGGCACAAGTTGTGGAGTGAGTTAGATTGTTTAACTGCATCATTATACCTTGCATCTTTCTCTTCAGCTTGCTCTGGCCACCTTCGGTCAGTACTTGCTCTCTTACCTATTGTCTTCTTGTCAAGATGCTACGAATGCTTGACAGAAGCAATATATATATATATATATATATAATATATATATATATATATATATATATATATATATATATATATATATATATATATATATATATATATATATATATATATATATATATATATATATATATATATATATATATATATATATATATATATATATATATATATATATATATATATATATATATATATATATATATAATAATATGTATGAATATATATGTATCACTTAAGAACTCTATGACCTAACAAGGGATCGAACCTGCGTTGCCCGCGGTCACCCCCCCTGGTACTACCATCACCATTTCACCAGACTATCCCGGCAGTGCCCGGGATAGTCTGTCTCTGCCCCCTTCTCCCACCCCTTGCTTCTTCCCCCCTTCCTTTTCCCATCCCTTACTTGCTCCCCCTCTTCCCCTTCTCTCAGAAAAAATATTATTAAGAAGCACTGAAAAAACTCTATAGGTCTCTCAGCTAATATATTATTTCAACCCGTTCTCGCAAATTCGTAAAGTCAGTATTGACTTATTAACTACGTGCATAGGTGATATACTAAACATAATAGATACCCTTAAAAAGATTCATAGAAAACACCGACCTTACCTAACCTTGTTAGTATTTTAAGATAAGCATCTTATTGCTTCGTAATTACAATTATTACTTAACCTATACCTATTATAGGTTAGGTAATAATTGTAATTACGAAGCAATAAGATGCTTATCTTAACATACTAAGTAGGTTAGGTAAGGTCGGTGTTTTCTATGAATCTTTTTAAGGGTATCAATTATGTTAAGTATGTCACCTATGCACATATTTAATAAGTCAATATTGACTTATTAAATTTGCGAGAACGGGTTGATTATTTCATTACTAAAAACTCTATGGAAATCACACCATATATTTCAAACTTGACTGCAGGAAATTAGCATGGGAGGGGATTGTCTCTATAATTGCTAATATTTCTAGAAGCATTTAACCTAGGCCTACCCCCGACCAGCCCATATCCGTCCCCGTAATCCAGGTCACTCTCTCTGGAAATTTGGGTGGGCCTCTGCAGCCTACACCTTTGGATACACAGACACACAGACAAACATTCTATGTCTATTTCTCTCTCTCTCTTTCAATCATATTTTCTGTCTCATACTCGTTCTTTAATTTATTCTCTACTCCCCCGAACCTATTTCGTTTCCCCCCTATCTCCCCCTACCATTACAAGCCCATCAACAACCCTCACCTTCTCCCCTCCCCCCAACAACCCCCCTCCCCCCAACAATCCCCCCTCCCCCCAACAACCCCCCTCCCCTCCCTGGAGCCTGAAGGAAGGGCAAGAAGAAGCAGGCTGACCGCTCTCACCTGCAGGCTGGAGCGTACACGGAAGACATCGTACTGGCACTTGTCGTGGTCCTCGTGGGAGCGCTCGTGGATGAGCAGGTTGTAGCTCTTGCGGAAGACCCTCTGGCAGTAGCGGCAGACGTAGGAGTTCTCCGTGCCGGACTTGCGGCCCTCGCATAGCACCTGGGACTTGCCGTTCTCCCACTCCCCTTCAGGCATCTTGATGGGGTGCTGCTGGTGATGGGCGGCGCGGAGGGGGACCAGAAGATACACATACGTCAGTGGGTGATAGACAGGTTGGATAGATATAGACGTGGACAGGCACGTCAGGCGGAGAGACAGGCACGTGATAACGTGGCGTAAAGAGCCACGTAGACACACGTTGTGTGAATCTCAAGGAGAGAGTTAAACTAGGAACTGAAATTATAGTTGAAGATGAATAACCACGAAATATGGTTGATAAAATAAATGACTCATGAACAATTAGAAAGATTTACAGTATATATATATATATATATATATATATATATATATATATATATATATATATATATATATATATATATATATATTATATTAAAAAAAGTCTTCATACATATATATACTTAATTTTCAGTACTCAAACAGCAAACCTTAAATATAATTATATACACAATAACCCAATTTGTACAAGATATACCAAAGGGGTACAATAATAGCCAGGTTTATCATATGTAGCTATTTAGTTAGGTAGTGTAATTATCTTAATAGCAGAAAGCTATTAAAACACATTAAAAGAAAAAAAGCTCTTTTTTATCCACTACAAGAGCACCCCCTAATCCACCACAACGGCATCCCTTAATCCACCACAACATCACCCCTTAATCCACCTCAACGGTACCAATTCATCCACCACAACAGCACCTCTTCATCCACCTCAACAGCACCTCTTCATCCACCACAACAGCGCCTCTTCATCCACCACAACAGCGCCTCTTCATCCACCACAACAGCACCTCTTCATCCACCACAACAGCGCCTCTTCATCCACCACAACAGCGCCTCTTCATCCACCACAACAGCACCTCTTCATCCACTACAACAGCACCTCTTCATCCACCTCAACAGCACTTCTTCATCCACCACAACAGCGCCTCTTCATCCGCCACAACAGCGCCTCTTCATCCACCACAACAGCGCCTCTTCATCCACCACAACAGCGCCTCTTCATCCACCACAACAGCACCTCTTCATCCACCACAACAGCACTTCTTCATCCACCACAACAGCGCCTCTTCATCCACCACAAAAGCACCTCTTCATCCACCACAACAGCACCTCTTCATCCACCTCAACAGCACCTCTTCATCCACCACAACAGCGCCTCTTCATCCACCTCAACAGCACCTCTTCATCCACCACAACAGCACCTCTTCCCCTCACGATACCTTCCCCTCTAAATATTTATATCCATTAAACGCCAGGAATGTGGCCCATATGTGGACAAACAAAGGCCCCTGACAGACGGCGCAGGTTCCTCGACTCGTCTGACAGCACAATTACCACCACAAACACCTGACGAAGACATTATCGACGCCGACAGCCCACGTAGTCCGAAGGCCGCTATCCGAGGGTGGGCCCCGCGGGTCGCGCCGCCTTATCGATCGTGCTATCGGTCTGGATCTGTCCACAAGGGCGGGACGGGGCTGCCTGAGGAACCCCAGGTAGAGGAAGCAGAGGGCAGGAAGAGGAGGACAGGGAGAGGGAAGAGGGGCGAGGACAGGGAGAGGGAAGAGGGGGGAGGACAGGGAGAAGGAAGAGGAGGAGGACAGAGAGGGGAAGAGGAGGAAGAGAGGGAGAGGGAAAGAGTGTCTGCACGCCGTTCCTCCACTCCATCGTAAGATCCTTGTTTACATATTCTACATATGAAGAGGTTGGACACGAGGTAGATACTAGATATGCTTAAATCAACAGACATAGCCCCTCTACACAAGGGAGGGAGCAAAGCATTGGCAAAAAATTAAAGACCAGTTGCACTAACGTCCCTCATAATAAAAGTATTTGAGAGCGTCATCAGGAGTCAGGTCACTAGTTTCATGGAAACCAATGACTTCCATAACCCAGGCCAACATGGATTTAGAACGGGAAGATCATGCCTCTCACAGCTACTTGACCACTACGACAAAATCACTGAGGCATTAGAAGAAAAACAGAATGCAGATGCGGTATACACGGGCTTCCCAAAGGCATTCGATAAATGTGACCATGGCGTGACAGTACACAAAATGAGGTCAGTGGGAATACTGGTAAAGTAGGACGCTGGATACTCAGTTTTCTGTCGAACAGAACACAGACTAACAGTCAACCATATAAAATCGAGTCCAAGCCCAGTTAAAAGCTCAGTACCTCAGGGTACAGTCCTTGCATTACTGCTTTTCCTTATTCTCACATCAGATATAAACAAGTCACAGCTTCGTATCATCCTTTGCAGATGACACATAAATCAGCATGAAAATTACGTCTGCTGAAGACATTGAAAAACTACGAGCAGATATTAATAAAGTTTTCGACTGGACAGCAGAAAATAACATGATGTTTAACAGTGATAAATTCCAGGTACTCAGGTACAGTAAAAATGAGAACCTTAAACACAATACAGGGTACAAAACACAATCAAATTTGCCCATAGTAGGAAAGCAGCATGTAAAGGATTTGGGAATAATGATTTCTGACGACCTAACGTTTAGGGAGCATAACCAAGCAAATACTGCGTCAGCCAGAAAAATGATAGGATGGATTACGAGAACTTTCAAATCCAGGGATCCCATCACAATGGCTGTACTCTTCAAATCACTTGTGCTGTCCCGTCTTGAGTACTGCTCAGTACTCACCTCCCCCTTCAGAACAGGAGAGATTGCTGAAATAGAGGGCATACAGAGAACTTATACGGCATGCATAGACACGATAAAGCACCTAAATTATTGGGATCGTCTCAAAGCTCTCCAAATGTACTCGCAAGAAAGGAGACATGAGAGATACCAAATAATATACACGTGGGAAATACTAGAGGGCCAGATACCAAATCCACACTGTAAAATAACAGCGTACTGGAGTGAACGATATGGAAGAAAATGCAGAATAGAACCAGTGAAGAACAGAGGTGCCATAGGCACAATCAGAGAACACTGTATAAACATCAGAGGTCCACGGTTGTTCAACATCCTCCCAGCGAGTATAAGAAATATTGCCGGAACAACCGTGGACATCTTCAAGAGAAAACTAGATAGTTTTCTTCAAGGAAGTGCTTTACCGGACCAACCGGGCTGTGGTGGCAGCTTGCTTATGTGGGCCTGCGGGCCGCTCCAAGCAACAGCCTGTGTGGACCAAGCCTCATCTCTCACAAGTCAAGTACCTGGCCTCGGGCCGGGCGGAGGTACAGACGGAGGTACAGACGGAGGGACAGACGGAGGTACACACGATACTCACTATAGAACTCCGTCAGAACAATATGGGGAACCCATCAACGTCTAAAATCCAACCTCCTAACCTAACCAGAAACGTAGGAGTTTTCATTTAGGATGCATTTGTAACGTTTGTTACTATAACGTAGAAAACGCGAACTCTTATTTTAACTATAACTATTACTAGCTGAAGCGAAATTACCCTACAGGTTACAAATATTCCTCACACGCCTAAATATTGCTCACATGAGTGGCGGGGGGAAGGGGGGGGCAGCCAGAGGGTGTCAGGGGGCCCTCGTAATAATATAACTGCCCCCCCTCGAAAAACAATAAGAAATCTCTGCACCAAGAGACACAGCCTTCAGACCAGCAGTATTGATCAACCACCTCCTCCATCTTGGCCAATACATCTTGGGGCCAATAAACATCAACCACCGTCTCTGCTTCACCGCCCCGTCGGGGTCTTCAGCAGCTGCCAAACCGAAATCAACGACCAATTACAGTTTCAAGAGAGTGGCTGGCGGCGTGGAAGAGGCGGGGTGAGGTGAGGTGTGTGTGTATATGAGGGGCCCAGGTAGTGGGCGCCGCATGGGGCCCTCTTGAATCTAATTGATGAAGTCTATCATCTTATTGGAAGCCGTCCATCACCACCACCTCCTCGCCGGCTTGTATCGCGCCGGCGTCAATTCCCTGCCGTCTCCCTTAAGTGACGGTGTGCGCAGCTTCCAGCTTCTCCTCTCCCTGGCCGTCTCAGGGAGAGGAGACGGTAGCTGTTTGGCCCGTCTTGACGAGCCCACTGATTGAAATTACTGGTGGGAGAGGGAGGGGAGGGAGGGAAGGGTGTGGGCGGACAGGTGGGTGGGCGTGGGTGGACTGTTCCAGCTCCTCTTACTGCCTTTTGCTCGGTCTTTAATTTCTTTAATAGCTTATATCAATTTTTTTCCCCCCCTTTACACCTTTAATCGCCTCCTTAAGATGCTATCAATTCTAGACCTGATCTGTTATTCTTTTTTGTTTGTTTGTTTTGGGAGAGGAAATGGGAAGGGAACGGGTCGGGGGAGGAGAGACAGAGGCAGGGAAGGGAACGGTAGGAGAGTTGCAAGAAAGGAACTGGGAGGGTACGTATAGAGGAGAGGAAAGGATGGAAAAGGGAGAGAAAGGGTAACTGCAGAAGATACAGCACCTGTTGTGTCCGTCTCATCAACCCATCCCATCACCAGAGGTAAGAATCACCCATCCCATCCCATCCCTTCGTGTCCATGAGGCTGCAAGTGCTATACCCATTTCCCTCTCCCCCTTCCTCCCATCTCCCAGGTAAGCTGAGCTCCCATCCCCTGAAGGCTGTTTAACATATCCGTCCCATCGTTTACCTTCTTTACCCCTTCCCTATTACCCACCCCTCCCACTAGCCGGGATGGGCAACGCGTGTCAAGAAGATGCCACGGCCACAAAGCTTAGTTGCTAAGTCTTACTTAGCAAGACTAAGAACTTAGTCTTGCTAAGTTTTTCTTGCTTAGTTTTCTTGCCAAAAAAAGTTCTTAGTCTTAGCAAGACTAAGAATTTCAGTCTTACCTTCAATAGCAGCTAAAGCTTTAACTCCATCCTAAGCTGAATAACATATATTGGATGCGTGGGTTAGTTACGTAAATGTAGAATCCTAATTGTAGTTGCCTAAATGAAGAGATGTATCAGGGCAAACGGGAGACCTTAGACAAGCCACCGGCTTCCTGCCCCGGCCGAGATCACCAGTGATTGAGGGGTGGCTCACCGCAGGTAAATTTACCGAAATGTAGT